AGCCTGAACAGCATGAGCACAGAGCTCGGAGTGCCTCTGGCTCGCATGGTAGCGAAAATATTGTCAATCGCGGCTAACATAGCACAATAACAACTGCATCTGAAACCTGTATACCAATGCTTCTGTAGCTATAGACCGATCCTGAGTCTTTTTATGACTTGCACACATGTTTTTATGTATGAGCACGTTATTCCGATGTGACATTTTCAACTTGTGTTTTGCTTGCTGAGATCCTCTCTTTCCCGCCCGCTCCCCAGAGGCCCGCAGCGGAGCAGAAGGAGCTGAGCAACAAATGGAACGAGATGGGCACGGATGAACCAGGTCTGCAGACGTTACCCAGGGGTTTGGCCCTGAGCAATCTGCCTTTTATGAAAGATTAGTGTTGATGCGTCTGTGCGCTGGAGCATCAGTCAGACGCTGCTGTATTTAGCATCAGATTAACACATCTTTAAACCACATCTACCACTGCCATGTTTCCCTTTGTAAGCAGTATTTACCTAGGGGAGATTAGGGCTGCATGATATACAAAAATAAAATAATCAACTGCGATTATTTTTGACTGATATTGCAACAATGATAATATTTGCAGTCATTTTAAAAATAATTCACATTATAATTGAAAAACACATTTAAAATTATTTTGTGGATATTCAAAAAAATGTCTGCAACAAATAAGGAGATTTATTTTTGTCTGTAGGTTACCATGTATACGCTTCTCTGCAGCACCACACCATTTAACTCTCACACAATTTGCCTTAACCAAACATGCTCTTACTGCGATTTGGATAGTTCACCAACCCATATTTCGTTTTTTTGGTTTAAAAAAATATTTTGCAGTCTATGCATCACTGGGATATTATATATTCTGGTGTTCTGTCTCCACTGGCCTCGAAGGTCAAAACCACATCCTCCGTGCTGTCATGAATCACACCACTTATTATTAGCCCCCTAGCTGCTTCCGTGGATAATGTCCTTGTCGTCCTCCCAGCTTAAATATTTAGTTATTATTGAGCATTTTGTCTCAGAAGACACATCTAACCTCTCACTGTGAAAACCTCTCAATGAACCAAACCATTTGCACCTCAATCTGGCACATTTGCAGAGAACACGGTAACCCTGTTTCCTAACAATGCTATCACAGCTCACTGCTCATATAATAACATTTAGGATGTGCCGTCCCCCGACTATAAACACTTTGGACTGCGAGTATAGAAACTGTCCAGACTCCTCGGACGGAGATAACACGCAGCACCCCTCCTTCCGTCCAAACCTTAACATGCCCTCAATTCTGGGGGATGACACAGCACTTACATTTACTGCCACGCTCCGAAGGAGTCCCACTTAGAGCGGGATGAGTGTGCCTCAGCTGTCCTGTGCTGTCCTTTTGACTTGAGTAGTTGAGTCACAAATGCATTCTGAACTATGTGCAAGTTCAAGTTGACTACATGGACCTAATGGTTGGATTATTTTGTGTAGTCTAGGTTTAACAGCTGCTAAACCTCTTCTGGAATAGCACATGTAAACACCGTGTGGAAGTACCACTTACAAAGTGTCCTTTTTACAGTAATGTATTGCAGAGATGCGTTAACGTCATTGTGTCTCTACAGATTTAACGAGCGTCAGGCCTGTATATGCCCCTAAAGACTTCCTGGAGGTAGGCGGTGTAATTCATTTCAAACTGCAATTTGAAGAAAGAAAAAAAGGATGACTTTACAAGACATGTTTGCTTTCTAAACAGGTGTTGATCAGCTTGAGGAACCCAAATCATGACAGCAGCGAGGATGTGGGCGTCAGGAGCCACTGGGGTCTCATCCAGGTTCCCCTCAATGTCCGGGACATCCCACAGCTGGTAGGGGGCCCGTGGTTTCATTGTGATGTTTCTGACCTCATGAGATGAATGCATATAACAGCCAGTACATCCCAGTAAGCTGCCCCATGAACGGCACACTAGATTTTAATCTGGGTATGTGATTTTCTTTTTCTCTTTCGACTCTTAGAGACAGGCCTACTCAGAGCTGAACCTGACCTCAGGGCAGTTGGGGATTGATGACCATGCACAAATCCATCCAGGTATCCACAAAAGAGCAAACCCACTTCTTTACGTGCCATCAGAGTTAAAGGAAGAGTTTTTTGAGAGTTCAAATAGGAAATTGATGCTTGACGTCAATCCTTGGTTTGTTATTTTGCTGGAGCCAGTGACTAGCTTAGCTTAGCTTAGCCTAGCTTAGCTTAGCATAACGACTGGAAAAGGGTGAACAGCTAGACTGTCTCTGTAAATTAAGCCAAGCAGCTGCTGGCTTTATGTTTTCAGAAACAGACCCTAGATGGGGATTGATCTTCTCATGTAACTCTTTGCAAGCAAGCAAACGGCCACATTTCCTAAATTGTTAAACGATTCCTTAAACCATCCAGCTAGTTCAACGGTTTTTGTCACCACGACACGTGACGTTGCATGCAAGACCTTCGTATCATAGCTGAATAATTTCCAGCTGAGAATATTTTGGATGTTTGGCAGCTTTAATGAATATTTAACCTTTCAGCTGACTTTTCATCCAATCAAATATGTGCCATATATGATTGGTAATAAAGACATGTAACAGATCCATTCAGCAGCTTGTTGATATCCAAAGCATATTTTAATCTCGCAGTAATTATCCAGAGCAACACAAATAAATGTGTTTACCTAATGCCCCCTGTGGTTTAATGGTGTGTTTAGCGTCTGGCCTCCGCTGTGCCACGCGGCTGCATGGGTCTTCTCAAACAATATCTTTCTTGAGTCCAGATATTTACATTTTTACAGCCTGGTGTTTAGGCTTTAAATAGAATCCCATCCACCGTCTCTGTGTTTGTAAATCAAAGAGATAACGTTAGTTTAAAAAACGGTGTCGCTACCAAGACATTATTTATGTACCTCTTTTGTTCTGTCTTTCTTTATCCCTCTGCAGACATGTTTGAAAACGAGTATGTTCAAATCGGGAAAAAAGGTCAGTGTTTGTTTGAAATAGTTTGTAAGTATATATCTGTGCTGTGGTTGTGTTTCTTGGTTATGGGCATTCTTATTGTTGGATTAAGGTGCACAAATGTGGGACAATTCCTTTTGAAATTCATCTAAATTAAGCAGAGGCTACAAGGAGTGTCATACATATTACTGATTTAGTAAATATTTACTCTGTAAGCAGAGGAAGGAACCGTAGTCTATATTTGCAGCCTGGGGGTTTTGTGTTTTTAATTCGTACCGTTACAGATCTGGTTTTATTTTTACATGAAAGAATCTTTTTTGAGAGATCGGTATCAAAAGATCTAATTATATCCACAATGAACCACTTTTTAAAAGAATACAACCCAAAAGAGAGAAGGGAACACTTTTTATAGACACTGCTCGAAGAAGCTGTGAAGATATATAACATTTGATCATATATACAGAGTTTGAAATCTAGTATATTAAGAAATATCTGTTGGAGTTTAACAGAAAATCCCCCAACGTGAACTCAATGACTCCCTTAGGTGCAGTAATCAGCCCGCGAGACACTTCACCTCTTATCTCATCGCTCTGCCATGAACCCAGTGTCAACAGCCACCTTATTATGGACACCAATCGACAACAACTTTAAAAAAAAACTCAATCTGTGCTCTGACTACTCATCCTGCCACAAGCCCCGGGTCACTAATCCCCCCCTGGTTGGCTGCGAGCTGCGAGTCGTGCTCCAGGCCAAGTGTTAAGTGCACTCAAATATTAAATGTAAGAGTTTAGCAGTGCGTTGGTTTATGTTATGACTGGCCAGCACCTTCACTCAAGGGCTGTGTGATTTCTGGCTCCTGCCACAACAGAGATTTAGGGTTGAATGGAGACGTGGGAGAGGTTGTTTCCAGCGTTTTGTCTGAGTGTTTTTAAGGAAAGTTATTTTTGTTTATACATTTTCAGAGGGAGGGAATGAATTAGTGACCGTAGATGTGACCGCAGCTTGCCCCCTTTTTCAGATGAATCATTGTCGTGACATTTTGTAGACAGTCATCTTCGTAAGTTATTGAATTGTTTTTTGGATGGATCAAAGTTTCTGTTAAAGTATGTTTTGTTTTTCTTCTAATGGATTTACATTTAATCCTTTCCAAAACAAACCTCTTAACCGCTGCAGGGTTGTTTTCGTTGTTGTCGTGCAGTTATTCAAGACTCGCAGGTGTTCAGTTTCCCAGCAGCTGTGTGTACAGATTATGTCACTCTGACAGAAAACCTAGAGGCTCTCTAATGTTGGTCACATACTAAAGTCTAGTGAATAAATGGAATTCATAATAATCAACTTCATTTAATTTAACTCTTAATAGATTTTTGTGTTTTATATTTTCATTTATTGAATTCAATTGACTTTTTGAATTGCAATTAATTCAACATGATTCATTTGATATAATTGAATGTAATACATTTTATTTAAATTAAATATGAGTTATTTGGTTTTATTGAACTCGTTTATTTCAACTGAATTATCAATAAATATTAAAAAGTATTGCAATGAATTCAAATCAATTCAACATAATGAATTGTAGGCAGTTTAAAGAGTTTTATTTAATTTATGATTGATTTAATTGGGCATGGAGGAAACACATGACTTTCTGTCTAATGCCCCTTTTCCATTTCACTTTTTTTTGGTTTGAACTTTTTGTCTCCTGTTGGTCCAGTGGTGTTGGAGCAGGACAGTGCGGCGGCGCAGCAGTACAGCCGGCAGGGCTGTCCCACCGGGCTGCGGGCCGACCTGTGGGCCCTCATCCTCAACTCTACCAACCAGCCTCAGGTACTGAATGCAACACACACACACACACACACACACACACACACACACACACACACACACACACACACACACACACACACACACACACACACACAGCTGAGTTGCACCCTGGTTGCAGCTGTCAGGGTTTGTTGTGAGGCAGCAGTCCTGCACACACAGCTGCAGAGATTCCCAAACTGCATGTTTACTACAAGGTGACCTTCTCACAGTTAACAATCAGTTATTTGGGAGAATGTAGTATTGTAATTGTTATNCCGCCCCCCCCCCCCCAATTTGTGTCCTAATACAACGGTCCAGCAACCAAGACGACCCAACCGAGATGTCCACACACATAGGGTCTCTATTGTTAATGTCTATGATCGTAAGGAGGGTTATTGACTAACAATCTGTTTACCTTAGTTTTATCATAACTGTCACTTGTCCATTGTGAACAAATGCTAAGATAATCAAATGCTACCGATTTAGCACAGTTAGCCCAAACAGAGCAGCCTGTGTGGCAAAGAGTCCGGAGTCTGTGGGGACGATAAAACAATGCTTGTGATGGGAGGAGGATTGATGTCTGAGGCAGAGTTACAGGGTCCTGACTGAGGTCTGGAGAGTGTTAGCAGGGCTCTGGATCGAACAAGGCCAAACACATTAAACAGTCAGAGTTTACTTTGGACAGAATGTGTCAGCTTTCTTTGAGCTAAGACAAAAATAGAAAAAACAACACAACCTGCTTTTTTAAATTGGAACAGGCTAGGGCTTTTGCAATACACCAAAACAGTGAGGTTTTCTGTCTGTCATCTAATATGAGCCTAGCTTCCAAGATGATGTATATCAGTTTCAAGTATTTTAGCAGAACTTCCTCTGATGCTGTCCATATCACCACAGTGGTTAAAAGTCTCTCACTCAGCTGTCAAAATCTCTGTTTCTGTTCTCCTCACATCCGCAGCACTGATTCGACCTGTCTCAGACCGGAGACACGTCTGAGTTTAGCCATGTGGTCGGAGACACGATACCCTTCCTTTAAGTTTGTTTTAATCCTCCTGTCACCGCTGTCCGATCACATAAACTTGATTTATCCACAAACACGGTGCTCTTTATATACCATCAGAGAACTGGAATTTCCCTTCTTCCAGAAAATACCATTACATGTATATAACCAGATCTCAATAAGAATAAACTCTCCACAAATAATACAAGCAGACAAATACAACGGGCACAATATCGAGTTCATATGCAATATTAGAGAACACTGTGATATAACGGCTTGGTTGAGTCAGGAATGGGAAAACCCCTAAAAGCATTATAGGGCCTCTTTAAAAACATCAGTCAGACAGCAGTATTATAAGATTATCAAAAGAATATCCCAAAGCCGACGCATATTAAACAACTTTGTATTATATTATATTTTCCATAAGTTACTTCCCAAATAATAAACCATGTTGGATCTGTGTGTTTCAGGATGTGATGTATTATGAACAGCTGACGGCTGGAGTCATACAGCACGACCTGCTGGTGGACAACCTCATCTATAAGGTACTTTAGGTTAACAAGCATCACATATGTATTGAGTTATGTTTCTTTTCTAAGACTTTAGCTGGCATTCATAACATTGACTGTACATTTGAATGCTCTTTTCAACAGGATGTGAAGCTCACCGCCAGCAATGACGACTACTACTTTGTGTTTGAGGACTTCCTCTATCAGGTAGAGTTCAGCTCCCGATCTCTCGTTATTTTCCATACCAGTACACTTAACCTTGATAATGTTGTTTTAATGACTCTCTAGGACATCAAATATCCATATAAATGAAGCATCACCTTTTCCCAACGTATCCTATGTCAAACCAGTGATTGGGGTTAAATTGCCCTTGAGAGGCGCCTATATAAAATAAATGAATTATTATTTATAATTTACTAACCGTTAAAAAAATGTGGGCTTCCTCAAATATTCAATATCGCTTGCTAAGCTAAACATAAACCTCTTTATTCAACTGTAAGACATTTGGCATCCCCAATGAACTTGTTACTGTCATGTAAATTCAATGTCACTGTAAAACTGCATTCCTCCCTACCTACAGTGACGGATGGGCTTGTTTGCCTTTGGCGCTGATAGACGAGCATATACTCGGCAACGGGATTATTCAACAGCTGTTAACATGTCAAACTCTTTAGTAGCTGACCGAGGAACAAAGCCCTCGTATCGTCTTCAATATTGACTCGTGATAAACTCTCTAGGCAGTGAAAGAATCCACATGTTGTGAGGTAAAGAACATTAAAGAAGTGTGGCTGTGTTTATCGTAACGATTCATTAATACATTTTCTTCTAGTGACTGAAAAAGAAAGTCAAGATGTCATGGAGCAGTTATTTTTAGATGATTCTGTTTCCTGTAAGATCCTGACCCTGAAAGAGCAGGTGCTTCCCAGTGTACAATCTTTGAAAAGCAGATCAAAACCTAGCAGCTCATTGGCTGTCGTTTTGAGGAGTCTCCTAAGCAGAGATGAATTCCCCTCAGATGTACTTCACGGGAAGTGGACAGGGGAAAGAGTAATAGTTTCTCAGACATTGGACTGTAACGGTAAGAGCTTCAACGTCACTTTGGGAAATAAGCAGTACCTCGTGAACAGTGGCTCTTATAGATTTAAAAGTAAGGCCATCACTGACGCCAAATAAAGTGCGATAACTAGAGATGTCCCGATCCGATAACGTGATCGGGGATCGGAGCCGATCACGTGATTTTCAAAAGATCGGAATCGTGAGAAGAGAGATTTTTTTTTTTTTATTTTTTTTTTTTTTTAATAAATACTTTTTTTTAAATGTTGTATTCAATGTTACAAAACAAAAATGACCATGTTCAAGTCTTAAAGTCCTCCTGAGGCCTTTTTTTGGTTTCAAATTACACATCATGTATGTGTTGCTTCTTTGGGGCTTGTTTTCATAGACCTGGTTGATTATTTCTCTCAAATCTGGCAACAGAGTGGGCAGGGCGCAGTGTCTAATTGTAGCAGTAAGCTAACGAGTACTGAAAGCTTTATTTTGTTTTGATCCAATGCTGCACAACTGAACTGATCCAATGCTGCTGTGAAAGAAAGAAGCTATATCCATGTTGGATAGAATATCCAATTTAAATAAAAAAAATAACCTTAAATAAACCTCAAATTGTCAAAATCAAATGATCGGAATCGGATCGGGAGCAAAAAAAGGTGATCGGGACATCCCTAGCGATAACCACTGCCTCTTATTTCCCCGGTCGTCAGGCAAAGATGATATCCATATTGTGCATGAATCCATGCCTTTGTGTGTCTAATCCCAAACCTGTGTGTTCCCAGGTGTTGCTGTGTTTCTCCAGAGACACCGCCGTCTTGGAGCACTTCAAGTACAACAGCGCTACTCCTCCCAAGTCCTTCATCCAGGGTGAGATGATGCGCCCTTCACCGAGGACACACACACACACACACACACACACACACACACACACACACACACACACACACACACACACACACACACACACACACACACACAACAATACACTGTGTTGTAGGTCTTGCTTATGGATTGATCTGTGTGTGTCTAACAGGGAAAGGAGAAGATGAAGAGTGTGCTGTTGTTTATCCTCCCAACGGTGAGTCTGCAACTTCAGACTAATTAGTTTTTATAGGGAACAATGAAACCATACTTATTCACATGAAGTTTGTTGGAGACATTTTCTGTACAAAGACTAAAATAAATGCAATTGTTCTAGATTGACGATACAGTTCATATTTATTTGTACTTCCTTATTCACACAGGTGTTATTCCTTTCCATGGGTTTTCAATGTATGGTGAGTATATTTTGCTCCTCTTATTTATTACACTAACTTACAAGAGGAACCATGCAAGAGCAACATGTAACAGTGTGTGTCTGTGTGGTCCCACAGTGGCACCTTTGTGTTTCCTGTACAACGAGCCTTCGAAGCTGTACAGTGTTTTCAGGGAAATGTACAGCCGCTACTTCTTCAGACTGCACTCCATCTCCTCCTCTCCCTCGGTAAACCCTTCTTTTATATAACTAAACAAAACACTTGGGTTTGTGTGTTTGTGTCTTTATATCTACTGTCACTGAACACATGTGCTGCTGCAGGGGATTGTGTCTCTGTGCCTGCAGTTCGAGCGGCTGCTGCAGACCCACCTGCCTCAGCTCTTCTACCACCTGAGACAGATCGAGGCGCAACCGTGAGTACACTGCACTCTGCTTCATCCTCATCCTGTTATGTATTTGCCCTCATTTCTCTTTTTAAAGTGATGGACTTAAGGTCTAATGCATTCACATACAACAACTCCTCGTCAACTCAAAACAATGATTAAAGTGACCAAAAACCAACATTGTTTTTTTGGTATTACCCTAGGTATGTGTGTTTCCACCCAGGTTCTTAAAGCTTAATCCTATTTCTGTATTTAATATAGTGAAGAATCACATCCACCAGGTCTTGATTCTGTAATGAGCTGCTGCCATCTTGTGGTGAATTGCCAGAATTACAACTTCCTAATGAACCTTCATAGAGCCTAAAGATGTGATGGTTTGTCCCTCAGGCTGCGTATTGCCTTTAAGTGGATGGTGAGGGCCTTTTCTGGCTATCTGTCCTCTGACCAGCTGCTCCTTCTCTGGGACCGGATCCTGGGGTACGACTCCCTGGAGGTGGTCGCAGGTAAGAGCTGTTGGCTGCACAATAACCCCCTGCTTCTCTTATGTTCCTCTATCTAAACCCCCTTTCCTCTGTTCCCCCCCTTCTTTTCCCACTCCTCCAGTCCTAGCAGCCGCTGTGTTCGCCTTCCGTGCCGAGAACCTGATGGAAGTGACGTCGCTGGCCTCAGCTGAGGTGTGTGTGTGTGTGTGTGTGTGTGTGTGTGTGTGTGTGTGTGTGTGTGTGTGTGTGTGTGTGTGTGTGTGTGTGTGTGTGTGTGTGTGTGTGTGTGTCTCACATGCTCCTTGAATGCCGTAAATAGCCGTTGATGATCAGCCAATAGCAGTAACCCAGTCTTCTGCATGCACATGTCTGAAAGAAATGTCTGGCTAGACACTTAAGCTTTCTTACCCCTTTAGCTTGATATCTTCATATAACCTCTGCTGAAGAAGATCGGACCTATTTAAAAAAAAAAAGAAAAAAAAAAGGGCTTCGATTACTTTGATACGAATAGGTCATACACACACCCATTAGCTCCTGCATGTCACTCACGCTACATTATTATAATCACGATATTCTTGTGCATGCCAGTATG